ACTTACAATGATAGCTTTTATTTCCTTATTTTAATATGAAGGTGACATGTGTAATCTTGCCTGGGTCTGTATTGTATTACATGAATAAGCGCACGAGGTTTGGTGCTGCTCACACACGTATCTTAATCTTGCGACTGGACTTGACAACCGAAAGTTTTTTTTCCTCTCTGTGGGCGGTTATATTTTATTTCCTTGTTACGTGGATTGCAGAAGCCTGAGATAGGGCAGGCTCCACCTTGCAGTCTGTACCCGTCTGTATGCTGTCTGGAGGGGACACTCTTCTTCCCAAAGAAAAGTAATCAGACCTTTGCTTGTATGCACCGACTTGCTTTGATCTGTCTGCGAGTCTCCCTTCCAGGACCTGGGAGGCCAGGTCTTTAGCAGAATGGAAGGCCTGACACGTGCCTCCTGCCTAGTGTGACATCAGAAGCTGGCGGGGTGGGCGCGGGGAGCACCAAACTCGGCCAGGGAGAAGCCCCCTCCCGGACTCAGACAGCATCCTTTCCAGACCGTACAGTCTTATAAGGTTCTATTTTTCTTTCTGATTTTAGTCCCTGGAGGAAACACAATGCTACTGTGCTATCAAACAGAGACACGGATCGCCCTGGAAAAATGAATCACAGGCTTGCTTCCTTCAGGGGAGCTGATTGAGTCACCACGAGTTTCGCAACAAAAGTCATTTTCTTAGAGATGAGTTTCAATAGACTTTTCTTTGTTCCCCATGTGGCAGTTTGTGTATTCATTTGTGTTTTATTTTTGCCATTGGATTTTTGGAAAAAGGGGATCATTTCAACTCTGATAAGTGCCCCCTTTGTGTTCCTTAAATGCGTTTTGAGTTAAAGAGGAAACTCCTGATTTTCACATTCTGATATCGTTTTCTCATCCGGGAATTTTAATCTAAATGTAGAAAAACGAATGCTATGTTTTATAAGTCACTGAGTAATATATTGACTAAAGTTTACAGTCAATTACTGTGGAATGAACCAGCTTGTGAGGCTTTAACTTCCTAGTCGATATATGGCAACACATATTTCAAATATGAAGCATTTTTTCACCTCCTGTCAACCTTTGTAATTTTCCTGTAGCTTTGTTTTGGGGTCTCCCGAGACCAAGACCTTTTAAAAGAGCTGCATTAACCGGTCTTTCTGTCCTGCCTATGTAGTTTTCCACTGTCTAGTGCTGTCCTCTGGTGACCATTTCTTGAATTACAGGCCATATACTCTGAAGAAGAAAAATAAACCGACAATATTTAAAGTCTGTGCAATACAGTTGGTTTTGCTTATATCCATTTTCTGCTGACAAGCAAAATCCGCGGACCAGGGCTGATTTTTAACCTAGAGCGTTACTGGATAGAAGAATTAAACCCCAGTTCAGGCGCCCAGGCCAGCTTGGTAGCCACCAGCCGGCCAGGTGTGATTCTTGGTCAAGAGATGAAGCTTTTCTTTCTGGCTTTTTAAATACGTCCTTTTCCACCCCAGACGCCAGTCTTCCTGATAGCCTCTCAAACCTTCTCTCTTTCTCCAGGAGGAAGTCAGAATTGCTTGTCGGGCCGGGTGCAGTGGCTAATGCCTGTAATCCCAGCACTTTGGGAGGCTGAGGCAGGAGAATTGCTTGAGCTCAAGAGTTCAAGCCCAGCCTGGGCAACATAGTGAGACTTCGTCTCTAAAAAAAAAAAAAAAAGGTCTGTGTTGATGCACACCTGCGTGGGAGGTGAGGCAAGAGGATTGCCTGAGCCCAGAAGTTTGAGGCTGTGGTGAGCTAAGACTGTGCCACGCACTCCAGCCTGGGAGACAGAGTTAGACCCTGACTTGAGATGTAGGAGTTATGACCTGAAAAGATCTAACAATTTCATGAGGCCGCATGGTCTGAACCAAAATCCAGGTTGGTCCTAACTGCAAGGCCCACATTCCTTCTAGGACACCGTGAGGCAGTGGGGTGAGGGCCCCAGGGCTGAGTCAGTGCTTAGGAGAGAGGCAGCCCTGATGGGATGGATGAGCTCTGGACTGTGCTGTGACTTGGTCTACTGCTGTTTCTTTTTTTTTTTTTTTTTGAGTTGGAGTCTCACTCTATCATCCAGACTGGAGTGCAGTGGCCGCTCCCGCAACCTTGACCCGCTGGGTTCCGGCCATCCTTCCGCCTCAGCCTTCCGAGTGGCCGGAATTACAGGCGCGCTACCACGCCTGGCTGATTTTTTGATTTATTGTAGAGATGAGGTCTCACTGCCCAGGCGGGTCTCGAACCCGCGGGCTCAGGCAATCCACTCACCTCAGCCTCCCAAAGGCGCGGGATTATGGCTACTGCTGTTTCTTAACATCGAGCTGTTCTGTGTGGGACACAGACTTGGAGTTGGGACAGGAAAGGCACTGGGGCCAGGAGAGGGTGCCATTGACCCTACTGAATCCCAGTGTCCTGGAGGCTGGGGGGTGGAGGACAGGGGAGTTTCTTCTTTCTTTCTTTCTTTCTTTCTTTCTTTCTTTCTCGCCTGAGCCTTTCTGGTAGATGGGACTACAGGCATGCACCACCACACTTGGCTAATTTTTAAATTTTTTTTTGTAGTGATAAGCTCTCTCTATGTTGCTCAGGCTGGTCTCGAACTCCTGGGCTCAAGCGATCCTCTCACCTCAGCACCCTAAAGGACTGGGCTTACAAGAGTGAGCCATCCCGTCCAGCCTAGGGGGTGGGAGCCTTTTCTAGGGTACTGACACGAGATAGCTGAGGGCACCAATGACGCCCTGCTGGGAGCTGCTCGTTGACTTTTGTGGTTTTTTCTCAAGAGATGTTATGGACACCTGGGAAATGAAGGCACAGGCAGTGCACACGGTCCTGAGCTTGGAACATGTTCCTCTGTGGCGAAAGAGACAGGAAGCGGGGAGGGAGAAGAAGAGAAAGAGGGGTGGAGGGCGGGACTTTAACTGCACCTGCATTTTAAAAAATTTATATTTTATTTTGAAGATGTGGGGTACAGTTCAGGATTAGGTGTACATGTGGATGTCGTACAGGTAAAGTTTGGGCCTCCCTTTGGTCCCTGCTTTGCCTGGTTTGAGATCAGGTACCCTTCCTGATGTTGTGTTCCCCACCCCCTCCCTGGCAGTATCCTGCTGCCAATGCCTTTCTTATAGTGTTATGGTGAATGTTCAGGGTTCGCTTATGAGTGAGAGCATGGGTTACTCAGTTCTTTGTTTCTGTGATAGATCACTGAGTATGATAGACTCTAAATCCATCCAAGTCGCTGCAAAGTCCATCATTTTGTTCTTCTTTATGGCTGTGTAATATTCCATCGTGCGTATGTATCACATTTTAAAAATCCAGTCCAGTTTTGATGGGCAGGAGGGTTGGGTCCAGGTTTTTGCTATTGTGAATAGTGCTGTGGTAAAAATGCGCGTGCAGGTATCTTTTTTGTAGAATGATTTGAGTTCCTCCAGGTATATGCCCAGTAGGGGGATTGCTGGGTCATATGGAAGGTCAATTTCTAGTTTTTTAGGAATCGCCACACTGTTTCCATAGAGATTGAACTAGTTTGCATTCCCACCAGCAGTGTAGAAGTGTTCCCTTTGCTCCGTGTCCTCGCCAGCATCTGTTGTTGTTTGTTTTATTAATCATGGTCATTCCTGCTGGGGCTGGGGGAGTATCTCAATGTGGTTTTGATTATACCTGAATTTTTATTCTCTTAAAAAATTGGGTGATTGCTGTTGATACTTGTTAATTCTGTGTGATGTGCACATACATGCCTGCTGCAATGTTTTCTGTAGTTTCCCATGGAAATATTTCCTTATTTAAAATTAAAACATGACCAAGGAGCAGAGACACCATCATGGCCACTATCATTTTTCTTTCATGATACTGTAAGCAAAGCTGTTGACAGGAACCTTCAAGTTTCCAAGTGGGTTAGAGATCACCTCTGACTTCAACTGAGCTACACTGACATGGTCTTTGATGAAAAGCAACACAGAGTCTTGAAATATCCCATGAAATCCACATCTTAAAGTAACCCATGGACTCTAAGTCAAGTATCCCATAATGTCTATTCCGGAGTGTTGTTTCTTCAAAGTTACCCTTCTGGTGTAAGATTAAAAATGACTACCAGGACAAGAGGTCCATGTAAAGTGTTCTGTTCACTATCCAGGTGGGGGAAAATAAGATGAGAGAAAGTCACAAACACAGAACAACAGAGTCATGAAAGCCATGACATTTAGCTGGAAGAGTTCCACAGCACTCTACGGGCTTATCGTGTTTTAAAAACTATCATTCTGGAAAAATGAAATAAGACAAGGGTCACTGTCGGCATTTCACTAAGCCTTTCTATAATTTAAAGCATATTTAGGGTGGGCGTGGTAGCTCATGCCTGCAATTCCAGCACTTTGGGAGGCCAAGGCAGGAGGATCACTTGATCCCAGGAATTTGGGACCAGCCTAGGCAACATAGTGAGACCTCATCTCTACAAAAATAAAAATAAAATTAAAAAAATTAGCTGGAAAAAATTAGGCAGAAGTCAGAATTGCTTGTTGGACCGGGTGCAGTGACTAATGCCTGTAATCCCAGTACTTTGGGAGGCCGAGGCAGGAGGATCACTTGAGCTCAGGAGTTCATGACCAGCCTGGGCAATATAGTGAGACTTCATCTCTAAAAAAAAAAAGGCTGATGATGTATGCCATTTCAGCTACTCAGGAGGCTGAGGTGGGAGGATCACTTTAGCCCAGGAGCTGGAGGCTGTGGTGAGCCATCATTGTGCCACTGCACTCCAACCTGGGAGACAGAGGGAGACCCTTGACTGAAAAACAAAATACATAGAGCATAATTATCTTAATTGTTAACCACAACTGTTCTGAGAAAGCACAGAAACAGGGGAGTCAAGTGACTCATTTGACAGTGGGGCTGGCTGGTGATGGGAGGATTTCATCTCAGGTTCCCCGTGTGACATCTAGAGATTTGTTCCCGCCGTGTCCCCCCATGTGTGTCTTGGCCCCCAGCCCTCACGGCACAGCATCTGGGAGCCTACGGACCTGCTCATGGGACCACGTCCTTTCAGAACCGTCCTTGACACAGATGTCCAGTCTCAGTTCAGTGCCGGTGGCTCCGTGCTTGCTGTCCACGCAGAGGTTGGCTGCCACATTTCGAATCTGTGGAAAGAAGAAGGATGGTGAGGGTAGGGCTGTGCCGTAGTGTTGTATCATTAGCTCCTGACAATCCTGGTATCAATTGGGTGAAACATGATCATCTTTTGATTACATGACTGTTGGATGTGGTCTTGAATTTGTATGCAATTTAGGGGGAAAAGCGTGAAATTCAATGTCACATTAAAGTCATCTTCACAGGGTTAAGGATTAATCGGCCTGCACGTTGACCCACTTCTTTGTAACCAAAAGTCGTACAACGCTGAACATCTGCATCTCCAAGGTTTCTGTTGATAGGATTTCTGATGTTAGAATCATAAAGCTTTTATTTAAGAGTTGTTTAAGCAAGCTGAGTGTGGTGGCTCATGCCTATAATCCCAGCACTTTGGGAGGTGGAGGCAAGAGGATTGCCTGAGTTCAGGGGTTTGAGATCAACCTGGGCAACACAGAGAGACCTTGTCTCTACAATAAATAAAACATAGCACATGCCTATGTTTCCAGTTACCTGGAAGGCTGAGGTGGAAGCATTACCTGAGTCCAGTAAGTCGAGGGTGTGATGGCTGTGAGCGTGCCACTGCACTCCAGCCTGGGTGACAGAGTAAGACTCCAACTCAAAAAAGCAAAAAAAGAATCAACATTGTTAAGCTGTCCATTCTACCTAAGGCAATCTACAGATTTAATGCAATACCCATCAATTAACAGCAACATTCTTCTCAGACCTAGAAACAACAATATAGGAATTTATATGGAAATATAAATGACCACGAATAGCCAAAACAATCCTCAGCAAACAACAACAACAACAACAACAACAAACAAAGCAGGAAGTATCACACTTTCAGAGTTTAAACTTTATTATAAAGCTACAATAATCAAAACAGTCTGGTATTGGTATAAGAACAGGCATATAGACCAATGGAACAGGATAGAGATTCCTGAAGCAAAACCTCGATTTCTCATTCAACTCATCTTTGACAAAGCCTCCGCCACCAACCACTGGGAAGAGAAGAACCTATTCAGTAAGTGGTGCTGGGAAAACTGGCTGACCACATGCAGAAGATTGAAACAAGACCCCTACTATGCCCAGAAATCAACTATAAATGGATCACAGACCTAAACGCAAAACCTCAAACTATAAGAACCTTAGAAAATGCAGGAGACACTCTTATGGAAATTAGAATTGGCAACCAATTCCTGATAAAAACTCCCAGTGCCCATGCCATAAGAGATAAGATAGACAAGTGGGACCTTATCAAACTAACAAGCTTTTGCAAAGCCAAAGAAACCAACAAGAGAGTGGGCAGACAGTCCACAGACTGGGAAAAAATATTTGCCAACTCTGTGTCTGACAGTGGCCTAACATCTAGGATCTATAAGGAACTCAAATGTGCTGAAAAGAAAAAAAATAGCCCCATTACAAAGTGGGCAAAAGATATGAATAGACAGTTCTCAAAAGAAGACATACGAGCAGCCAACAGATACATGAAAAAAGCTCAGCCTCACTAGTAATCAAAGAAATGCAAATCAAAACTACACTGAGATACCACCTAACTCCAGTCATAATGGCCATCGTCAATAACTCAAAAAATAGCAGATGGAGAGGATGTGGTGAAAAGGAAACACTTCTACACTGTTGGTGGGATTGTAAACTAGTACAGCCTCTGTGGAAAACAGTGTGGTATCTTAAAAGTTCTAAAAATCGACCTTCCATATGACCCCGCAATCCCCCTACTGAGAATATGCCTGGAAGAACTCAAATCACTCTATAAAAAAGATACCTGCACACGTATGTTTATTGCAGCATTGTTGACAATAGCAAGAACATGGAACCAACCATGCTGCCCCCAAAAGGAGGACTGAATTAAAAAATGTGGTATATATACACAATGGAATATATATATATATATATTTAAGTTGGTGTCTCACTCCGTTGCCCCAACTGGAGTGCACCCAGCCACCGCAGCCTTGACTGCGGTGCTCAGGTGATCCTTCAGCCTCAGCTCTCCAACCAGTCGGAACTACAGGCGTGCACTACCATGCCCGGCTAGTTTTTGATTTATTGTAAAGATGAGGTCTTGCCAAGTTGCCTGGGCGGGTCTCGAACCTGCAGGCTCATGCAATCCACTCACCTCAACCTCCCTAAGCTCTGGGATTACAGGCTGAGCTACCTAGCCCAGCCTCACAATGGAATATTACGCAGCCATAAAGAAGAACAAAATCATGAACTTCTCAGTAACCTGGATGAACTTAGAGTCTATAATACTGAGTGCTATTTCACCGAAACAAAGAACTGAGTATCACATGTTCTCACTTATAAGTGGACCTTGAACAACTATTGTAATACTATAAGAAAAGGATTGACAGTAGTGGGAAACTGTGGGGGTTGGGGGGTCGGGGGGGTGGGATTGGCAGTAGTGGGAAACTTTCTGGCCACACCTCATCAACAAGGATACCTGCACAATGAATATTTGTATACCTAACCCTGAATTGCACCCTACAATTTTAAAAGAAAAAAATTTAAAGGTGGAAAAAAAAAGTTGCTTAAGGTAATCCTGAGTTCCAGCAGAGCTACTGACCCCAATCAATATGAAGACCCCACTGAGAAACGGGATCAGCATGAGAACCCAGCTTCTTCCTCTTCCCCTCCTGCAATGTCACCCTGAACTCTATGACTGATCAATAATCTTCACACTTCAGCCCACCCCAACATCCTAAAAAACCCCAGCCCCAAACTCCTCTGGGAGACAGACTGGAGGTTTTCTCCTGTCTCCGGGTTTGGTGGCTCTATGATGAATCCTCTCTCTCTGCTGTGATCTGGTGTCCTGGCATATTGATTTGCTGCACACTTTGGGCTACAGCCCTACTGTGGTTATGACATTCTCGACATGCTAAAGGGTGTGATTTGGCTAAATAGGCAAACTGAAGCTGACGGCAGCAAAGGTGCATGTTGAAAATGCAACCCAGGGAGAGTCTGGCGCTCATGACGTCTGTAAAATGGGGAACTTTCCTTTTTCATTGCATGTAATTGGCATTTGTTATCTTCCTGCCTCAAAACACCTTCTCACTTCGCCATCCCTGCAGGAGCGAGATTCCAAGAAGAGACAGGTACTATGGGTGACATGTGTGACGGAGGAGATGGGTCACTTGGTCCTGGGCAGATGAAGGCGACCTTCCATTCCGGTCTGGCTGCATGGTCTTGGTCTACCCCTGTGGTCATGGTTCAGCACTTTTTCTGGCTGATACACTGAATGTCACCCTAGAGTATCAGCAAAATAGAAAAGACAGCATTGCTGTAATACCATGCTGGGTGAAGATTCTCTACGGGAAGCCTGACCTTTGAAAAGTTGCAGAGTGGGGGGAAAAAGGATAATTCTTTGTAATTATTCTATTAGCACTGAGATAAGGAACTGAATAGTTAGGGGTGGGGAAAGGGTGGAAAATGAGAAGTATCGAGAGTTGAAACAGCAAGGAAAGCAGAGACTCAGCATATGATTCCTTCTGTCATATTTTCCTGCCTGAAGTTTTCACCCATTTTCCTGTAAGTGTTGGAACCACAGCCTGTAGCAGAACTGACTATCGTTCTATTGACTATTGGCTGCTTGGGTGTGTGTGTGCTCAGATAAGCTCAGTGATCTCAGTCCTTTGCATGCCTTTATGTTGCCCTGGATGATGATAATCCCTTTAGGCATTTTTTAAAGAATAGAAACAAAAACAGGATGGACCCAGCCGATGACTCTAGTCAAGGCGTTTTTTGCCTGGAATGAGGAGGTAAGGAAAGGAGTCTCTCCACAAAAAGAATGCCCAGACTGGGGCCTGTTTCTACTGGGGTGGACAGTGAAGCAGAGAGGTTTGTAGGGAATATTGTGGGTATCAGAAAGGAAGACATGGTGCTGGGATGGGATGGCAGGGGTGGAGAGAGCTTGTTCCCTCGTTTACTATAGGGGGAGAGGCCGGGGGGATGCCACTCGTGGGGGGACTCTGGATGGTGACTTCCAGCTGCATTGCAGTGCTAGTTTTCTTATTCAAGGAGGTTAACAACAAGCTGGGTTCATCCTGGACTTCTGCTTTCAGGGTGTCTGTCCCTGAGGATGGGGGAATGTAAAATAATTCAGGACACAGGGCAACAGTTCTTAGCCTGACTTGGCCTACCTTCTCTCTGAGAGTCAAGGTCAGGGTTGCACAATTTTTTTTAAAAACAAACAAACTAAAAACCAAACAAGCAAAACTGTGAAGTGTGACCCACAAGCTCTTTTGTGTTCATTTCCCTGGAGACCATCGACTCCAGATTTGAATCCTGCATTGAAAGTGCTTGCTTCTTCCCACTTGTAAACTAACTGCATCCTCCTCTTAGTAGTATCAGAAATCCAGAGAGGTGGGGTGTGACTGGTTGTTGTAAGACAACTGGTTGACTCTTGTTTCTTTTCTTTCTTCCTTTTTTTTTTAAGTCGGGTCTCACTCTGTCACCCAGGCCGGAGTACAGTGGCATGATCGTGGTTCCCTGCAGCCTCAACCTCCTGGGTTCAAGCGATCCTTCCAGCTCGGTCTCTCAAGTAGCTGGGGCTACAGACATGCGCCACTATGCCTGGCTAATGCTTTTCGATTTTTTTTTTGGTCACGATGAGGTTTGGTTATGTTGCCCAGGCTGGCCTGGAACTCCAGGGCTCGAGCCATCCTCCTGCTTCAGCCTCCCAAAGGGCTGGGATTGAGGTGTAGGCCACTGTGCCCATCCTGCTCTCATTTCTTTGACCTTTTCTCCATCTTTCCTGAACAACTACCTGGGAGGAACTTCCTTCCGGAATTTGTAGCGCCGAGCTGAAAATACACCTTCTGTTCAACTTCTTGATGTGTGATGGCGTTTCTCCAGTGAAACAGAAACGCCCAGAAGGTCAAGGTTAGATTTTGCTATTGCTGTCTTGAGCCTGGCAAGCTCTGTAAGCTCTTGTTTGATCTTTGGTTCTCCAAAACTGCCTCTAACCCGAGAGTCAACTGACGGGAAACTGGGTAGG